CTGGAGGCACTCCGGGCACCGTCTCTTTCTGGAATTTTCCAAAATCCACGAGGAACGGAACGCTCCCTCCCACCGGCGATCCCCGCTGTCCCTGCCCGGCGCTGTGCTTCGCAGGTGTCACTGGCAGGGAGCTGACAGCACAGAGCAGGCGGTGGGAGCCACATCCCATAGCGGCGATGGCAGAGCTTCGCCTCCCCTCGCCTCGCTCCTGGCCCCGCTTTTCGCTGTCGGTCTGCGAGGCTTTGGTGCGGGCTGCACGGGGCTGGCAGAACTGAGCTGTGTGACACACGGCCCGTCAGCTTTTGTCCCCATCGGCTCGGCGCGATGCTGGCGGTGCAGCGGTGAGGATGGGGTGTTGGATGTACAGTGGGCAGGCACTGCGCCGGTGTTCCGTGCCAATCTGTGGCGGCCTCAGCTGCCGTCTCTCACGCTGAAGCTGAGCTTCCATCCCTCGCGTTCTGCCGAACACCTAAATGTCATCTTCCTGAGTTATCGTTATCGTGGCCATTTTGGTGAGCGTTCAGCCCTTTTGCAAGAAAACCTCTGAGAATGTTAAGCATGCGAGGTCAGGCGCCTGGGAAACATGAAACCCGGGGTTACCTGTGCAGCCTCAGCGCTGCCCATCTCGAGGTGCTGCGGCTGCACCACTGCTCCTCATTGCCTGCCCGCTGATTTCCCCAGGGATGGTCTCCAGCTCCCCGGGATCCCGGTGGGGATCCTCCGACTCACCAGGGAGTCAACAGGGGGAGTGCTGTGAGCACAGGGAAGCACCACTTCTCATCCCCACGCTGCTCCCACTGCCTGGCACCGCACCCACTGAGGTGCAGGGCCAGCCCTTGTGGCTCTGAGACCATCCCATCTTCCTGAAATTTTAGCTGCCAGGTGTTAGAAAAGCATTCATTTTGCAGTGAGTACAATCCGAAAGCCGTTGGTCAGGTTTGGAGTGGTGTTTTCTCAGCAAAAAGCACATGTCTGGTTGGGAGGGTGACTTCTGGCAAGGTCTAATACTTGTTCGAACCGTTGGGTGTAATTGCTGTAAATGTATATTTATCGGGGGAAGGAGCATTGTCGAGCCTTGCTGTTGAAGCATCCTAGCTGGTCTGATGGGATTTGTAGATTCCTGCTCCCAGCTCTTTTATAACTAACACAGAATCGCAGCTCCTTCTGCATGTGAAGCCCTCGAGCAGCACTGTCATGAACCGAGTGCTGCGGGAGGGCTGCTGGCTGCTGCAGGAGCCCAGGAGCTGCGCAGAGGCTGGGCTGCCCGCTGTCAGGCCGACAGCAGTGAGCAGTGCAGCTGGTGGGGCAGGGCTGCAGGCAGGACTGGGTGTCAGGAGCTCTTATTGTGGAGGTTTAAAAGAGCTGCCTGATTTTCTCAGGCTGCGGTCCTGCTTGCCTATATTTGCCTAACTCCCTCTTAAGCAAACGGGATTTCTCTCTTTTCTGAAAGTAAACGTGGCTTAAAGTTTGCAAATTTGATACTTTCTCAAGCATTCCTTCAGGCAAGAGCAGGATAATGAGAGATTTTTGCCTGTGTCTGGAAGGCTCCTGGCTCCGAGGAGCAGCCCGCGGGTTGCTTGCACTTCCTGCTACGTGTTGGCGTTTGCAAACGCTGTGCTGTGCTCTCAGGTTCCGCGGCTGCAATGGCTGTGAGGGGGAACGCAGAGCATCACTGCTGTGTCCCCACTGGGGCTGCGACTGTGGATGTAAAATTTGTCTGTAGGTTTGGGTAGGTGTTTGAAAGCACAGGTGTCCGGGACTTAGCTGTGTGAACTGTGAGACTCCTGACAGATGATGATGCAGAAGATAAAAAGGGAAATGCTATAGGCTTCGTTTTCTCTGCTAGACTCAGTATTGTCTTGCTGCTGTGTTTGGCAGGCCGAGCATCACGGTGTTACGTTTCTTGCTTGTGTGATTGCGGTGAGTGCTTTAACCCGTGTGCCTGGGAAGTCAAAAATCTAAAAGTAAGCTCAGCAAACCGCACATCCTCAGAAAGCGTTCCAAAAGAGAACGTCTCCTGGCAGAAAGTAGTCTTTAGCATTGAACTGATTGCTCTGCCTTCAAATGCCAGCTCTGTTAGCTGTCTGTGAGGAGGAATCACGTAGCAGGTATCTATAGAAAGCTCTTACAGGTGAGTGAGAACTGTGAGAAATGCTTTTTGTGTTTAAACCACAAGCTTGATGCTGCCCAATTGTGTGTTGCTGTTTCTAGATGTTTTCCTTTACAGTGAAGCTGCTGCTCCAGAATCCTGCTCATGCAGTTGCTGGTTTGCATTGGTCATCCTTAACACTTCAGGTGGCAGTGGGAGAGGAAATGACCCTCTGGGCTCCATGATTCGGATGAAGTGTCTGAGGAGAGCGGGGTTATCCCTGACCTTGGTCAGGAAGCTCCAGTGAGAGCACATGGTTCCGCTCGGTGCCCGCAGGTCCGCGATGCTGGCACCACGCTGTCCTGATGCCATTAAGCTGATCCAGCTGCCAGCTTCTGCTGAAAGCGGATCTGAGCTGGCTGCAGTTAATGGCTGAGGGAAAGGAGATCGCTCTCAGCTGGATCAGCTCTCTGGTACTGACTTGCTCAGCGACCTAAGTGGTGTCCATTGTCAGTTGCTTTTAGGGTATTCTGAGGGCCCTGCGAAGCCCTTAGACTTAGCTTTGTCACAGATGGGGCTGGGTCTTGTGCCAAGCCCGTCTTCCGCTAAGGAGGATAAGCCTCCAAGTGAGAATTGGCTCCAAGTTTCCTGGGTTCCTTTGGTTTCCTCCTGAAGGTTGTCGTTAATCATCAGGCCAGACCCTTTTGATGAAGCGTGCTAAGCTTTGGGATGGGACATGCAGTGGCTGTGGGGCAGCGCTGCTGGCTCACGTGCCGCCTGGTGGGCTGCAAGGGGATTAGTGGGAACTTGTGCACTTGCATTTTCTGGTTTTCATTCTGCTTTTGTGACCGACAGCCTGAGTGAAGCCTTTGAAATGAAATGGGACGAGTGCCGCAAGATGAGAAAGCCTTTACTCATGTTCAAAACAGCAACAACAACAAATATCTATGGACTTCTCTGTCAGTCATGAATCTCATTGCTGATTTCTCACCTTGAATCACATCTGGTGCGCTGCAAAATGACCTCGTGCGCATTGTAGAGTTGCTCCCTCTCTGGATGCCTGTTTGCAGTCTGTGCTTCTATCTCTCAAGCACAGGTAATCTGACAGCCACAGGTAATCTGACAGCCTTTGTGCTGGCTTCTCATTGAAATTCTCACGTCTGTATTCCGTTGGTTGTGCTGAATGGCCTTTAGAAAGGAGCACGGTCCCAGGTACAGCGTGTCAGCCGGTGGTGGCTGAGTGCTAATGGCAGTGGAGTGTCTAACCCATCTTTGAAAAATCCTTGCATGGAAAAAAACGCACCACGCCAACCCACGTCATGAATATTTTTGATAGATGGCCAAGAATCCTTTTATTGTATTCCACATCTACATGTTGGTTTTGTTTTGAGTGATGAACTTAGAACAGTTAACTTAAAATATTTACTTTAGAGGACTTCCGTGAGCCTACTGTTTTTTGGTAGGTATGTAGACTGGAATACAACCCTCAATAACACTGACATTTTCAGTTTTGCAAGACTTGTCTGAGGTAAGGAAGGATTACGTTGCTTTGCGCTTGTTGGGTGTGTAGGACAACAACCTCCCCTGGAAGGAATTACTAAATGATTTAATTGTTGTGGAATGCTGTCCCATTAGGTAGAAAAAAAAGAAAAAAAACCAACACCAAACCCAACCATCGAATGCAATGGATCATTAGAAATGTAATGCTTGATTAAAAGGGTGTGAAGCAACTTTTTAAGGCTTCGGAATAAGTGCTGTTGGGAGAAAGAGGTTCTGTTTGTAAATTATCCTTTTTTTCTTTGAGGAATTAAGAGCTGTGCATGTGCATTGAAGGCTGTGTTCAGCCCCAGTTTGCCAATCAGTCAGCGAGCAGAGGGCAATTACGTTGGTTCTGTTGCTGCTCCCAGTGGTGAAGAGAGCTGAACAGCTCCTGTTTGAAGAGGGATTTTGGCAGACGTCATTTAAACGCAGGACCATTGTTATTCTGTTCATTTTCATCGGGGAATAAAGATAGTGCTGGCTCA